CATGGTGTCTAGGGTGCATGCCTGGGTGTGGAGGGGCCTAGCCGGCCTCCTGCCCAGCATGGTGTCTAGGGTGCATGCCTGGGTGTGGAGGGGCCCTCCCCACAGCAGAGGCCAGCATTCAGCTAACCTCCAGTTTCTTTGCAGCAACTTTGGCCGCCCTGGCAGGAGGGGGCTGCTCCATCATGTGGGAGCTGGGGGTGGCCAGGGTGAATGTTTTGCCCCCCAATGATAATTGGGGGTGCCAAAAAGGAATCAGGGATTGGATGGAGCAGGCCCTTCAGGGTGGGAAGAGGGCTGTCTGGCTGTTGGTTGCCTGGCTGACTGGGGGGAGTGTGAGTGTATGTGTGCAGATGGGGTTTGAGGGGCAGGGATGCTGTGGCATGGATCCTTGTCTGACTAGAGCATCTTCTGGGGACCCCCCTCCCCCACATCTGTTGCAGCCGCTTACAAGCACGCAGATGGCAAGAAGATTGATGGCAGGAGGGTCCTTGTGGATGTGGAGAGGGGCCGGACTGTGAAGGGATGGAGGCCCCGGCGTCTAGGTGAGTCCATTCTGCCCTCTAGGTGCTGGTCTGTGTGTCGATGATTCTGCCTTCAGTCTCCCCAGCCCGCATACTGCTTGTTCCCCTCCATTTCCAGCTGTCTTCTCTCATCTTCATGGCTTTAGACACTGGTGCACACAGACACCTACACCTGCTGGTGCCCAAGCAGACCCTGGTCTTTGCTGGATGTATAGAGTGTCTGTCCTGCCTGCGTGTATGCAGGAAAGGAGGGGCCAACGGATGCAGGTCTCTTGTCTCAGTCCCAGGCCTGTGATATCAATGGATTCTCACCAAGAGGATCTTGAGAGATTGTGCTGCTGTCTCTGTGGACAAGTGTCAGTCCCTGCTGTTTGTCCATCTAATGGCTCAGTATTAGGCTCCACCTTGATTGCAGGTCTTGTGTGCCAGGTGTCACTCTGTCTCGGGCAGCAGCATTACCTGGCTTTGCCTTCACCTGAGCATCAGTGCTGAGTTGACCTAGCACCCCAACCCCCAGGAGTTCTTTCTGTGCTGGGAGACTCCTGAAATCTCAGAAACAAGCCATTTGTCCTGGTGTGCAGATGTGCTGCTGATGTGATAGTGTGGGTTCTTCACACACACACGAGTTTGTACAGCTGGTTTCCACATGCAGTACATAGAAGTGTTTTTTTTTAACTCGGATGTAGTTCTGAGACAGGGTCTCAACAGTGAAGCTCAGGGTGGCCTCAGGCTCATGTGATCCTCCTGTCTCAATCTTTTGAGTGTTGAAATTACATACCTGGCTTTTTATTTTTATTATTTATTTATTATGTATGTTCTGTCTGCATGTGTGCCTGCAGGCCAGAAGAGGGCACCAGATCTCATTATAGATGGTTGTGAGCCATCATGTTGTTGATGGGAATTGAACTCAGGACCTCTGGAAGAGCAGCCAGTGCTCTTAACCTCTGAGCCATCTCTCCAGCCCCACCTAGCTTTTTTATTTATTTATTTATTTATTTATTTATTTATTTATTTATTTATTTATTTATTTATTTATTGGTTTTTTGAGACAGGGTTTCTCTGTGTAGCTTTGCGCCTTTCCTGGAACTCACTTGGTAGCCCAGGCTGGCCTCGAACTCACAGAGTTCCGCCTGGCTCTGCCTCCCGAGTGCTGGGATTAAAGGCTTGCGCCACCACCGCCCAGCTTTTTTTTTTTTTTAAGAATGGGATATTTGTTGAACGCAGTTTCTGAGGTTTCAGTACATGGTCTAACTATCTCTGTTGCTTTTGGACTTGTGGCGAGTCACATATGAAGAGTGCTGTTTATTTACCTCGTGTGCGCAGGGAGCAAGTGTATTTCTTGTGTTGATGGCATAGCCCGTTGTTAAGTTGTGACCCAGCAGCTGGGAGTCTGTGTCCTGTGTTGTAGTAGTCCAGCCTGTTACCTATGCCTAGACTCAGCCTAGCGTGTGACTGGCTTCTACTTTGTCTTGTCCTCAGTGTGAATCTCAACCTCACTTCTCGGGACCCTCTTTAGATGGGTGGTGCAGGAAACCACAGGCACATGGGATTCCCAGCCATGAGTCTTCCTTGCCAAGTCATTGGGAGCAAGTGGCTCATTAGTGGGTCCCCATTTGAAAAATAAGATTTCCGGGGCTGGAGAGATGGCTCAGAGGTTAAGAGCACCAACTGCTCTTCCAGATGACCTGAGTTCAATTCCCAGCAACTACATGGTGGCTCACAACCATCTGTAATGAGATCTGGTGCCGTCTTCTGGCCTGTAGTAGTGACACATGCAAGCAGAATACTGTATACATAATAAATAAGCAAATAAATAAATCTTTAAAAAAGAAAAAGAAAAATAAGATTGCCACCTGCTCCTTAGTGCTATTGGTCAGGTACACACCACCTTTCTAGACCTGGTGTTAAATCTGCAGGTTCAGCAGAGTCCCTCTTTTTGTTGCATACCAGGATCTGAAGGGGTATAGTCATGGTTTCCTTGCACAGTTAGTGAGCTTGAAACCTGCCTAATAGGTACTGGGAGCCTCTGACAATTCAGGGGAGTGGCGTTGTGTGTTGAGCAGGGCAGGTTCTGAGTTGGTGATTTGAGGCTGACAGGGAAGCAGAAGGTACAGAGATAAGGAAAGCAGGCTTACTCCAGGAGGATACATGTAAAGTGCATGGCTGTTATGGGAAGTAAGGGGGTAGTTGAAAGGCTGGAAATAAAGGGTCCCCTGGGAAGCTGGGCGTGTCAGGTGTTCTAGCTTTTCTATTCTGAGAACAAGGTCCCAGTGTATAGCTTTGGCTGGCCTCAAGTTCATTGCATAGACCAGAGTGGCCTCACAATCATGAGCTCTACCTGCCCCTGTCTTCCTTCCCAAGTATGGGATTAAAGGGATGTAACACCATGCCTAGCATCTTTCAGCTTTTCTGTGGGTTTACACTTTGGACTTTGTGCGCAAAAATACAAGTTGCTGGTGTGCTAGCCTAGAGTCTCAGGTCTCAGATGAGGTTGGCTAGCTTGGGAAACGTGAAGTTTCTTCTTAGGGTGTCCCTGACTCTAGCACCTTGTTAAAGCCTTGCATGAAAAACAGGCTCTTCCGTGACAAGGGAACATGGGGGTGATTGGCATGGGATTGTGCACCATAGCGGCCAGTAGAGGGATTTGTTTTTTGTCAGCGTTCCCACTGACCCTGTGTGCCTTTGCTTGACCCATAGGAGGTGGCCTTGGTGGGACCAGAAGAGGTGGGGCAGATGTGAACATCAGGCATTCAGGCCGTGATGACACTTCCCGATATGATGAGAGGTAAGGTTGGGCTCCTGGTTTCTTGGGACAAGGCGGTCATGGGGTCCTGCCACACGCTGCTAATCTCATGTAGGCCGGGCCCCTCCCCACTTCCACACAGGGACCGGGACCGGGACCGCGAGCGGGAGCGCAGAGAAAGAAGCCGAGAGAGAGACAAGGAGAGAGAACGGAGACGCTCCCGCTCTCGGGACCGGAGGAGACGCTCCCGGAGTCGAGACAAGGACGAGCGGCGTCGTTCCAGAGAGAGAAGCAAAGACAAGGACCGAGACCGAAAGCGACGGAGCAGTCGCAGCCGGGAGCGAGCACGCCGGGAGCGGGAACGAAAAGAGGAGCTTCGAGGTGGTGGAGGTGGCGGTGGTGGTGGCGGTGGTGGTGGCGGTGGCGGCGACATGGCTGAACCCTCTGAAGCTGGTGATGCAGTTCCTGATGATGGGCCTCCTGGAGAGCTTGGCCCTGATGGCCCTGATGGCCCAGAGGAGAAGGGCCGGGATCGAGACCGGGAGCGCCGTAGGAGCCACCGGAGTGAGAGGGAACGTCGAAGGGATCGAGACCGGGATCGGGATCGAGAGCACAAACGGGGGGAGCGGGGCAGTGAGCGGGGCAGGGATGAGGCTCGGGGTGGGGGTGGCAGTGGTCAGGACAATGGGCTGGAAGGTCTAGGTAGTGATGGTCGAGACATGTACATGGAGGCAGAGGGTGGTGATGGGTACATGGCCCCAGAGAATGGATATCTGATGGAGGCAGCTCCCGAATGAAGAGGCCTCCTGTGTTGTGGACATGCTCCTACTTTGCTGTCTGCCTTCTTAGCCTTTCCACCATGGCTTGTCCTCCGAGGGTAGAGGGTTGGTTTTGTTTTGTTTTGTTTTTTTGTTCTGGTCCCTTGGATTTAAAAATAAAATTAATTTCCTGTTGATGGTGGGCCCCTGGTGTCTTACTGCACTTGTTCCCTTCCCAAAAGGTTGTCACTTTATATTGTCCAGCCCCACTTGGTGTGCTGATGATGGTGCACATGTTATGACCTGAAGTAAAGGCTGTGCTCCGGCCGCCAGGGCTGCTCAGCAGGGAAGAGAGGGAAGCCCTGCCCTCTGAACAAGTGAGGGAGCAGTAGGCCAAGAGGCAGGAGGAGAGACCTGTGGTCAGGAAGATGCCTGCTCAGACAGTTGACTAAGGAAATAACCATCAGCAGTTAGATGGAAGACTAAGTGGGCGAGCTTTGAGTCTGGTGAGCCCCGAGGAAGCAGTGGCTGGCCTGGCACAGTCCTGAAGAAAGGCTGAAGGCAGTCCCATTTAGACCTGATTGACAGGACTCCAGATAGCTGTCCTGAAAGGAAACTTGACTCACATTCCTGTGGACTTTGCCCATGTTGTAGGTAAGCTTAAGTTTGGCTAAGAGTGCCTCATTGTAGAATGCTTAGGGCAGCGAAAACTTGAGAAAGGCACTGGAGGATGACCAGGGGAGACAGAGCCACCTTTCTTAAGGAATTGATAAGGCTTGAGTATAATATGGCCTTCACAGGCTCATGTCACATGGTTCATTTATCTCCAACTGCTGGTGTGATTTGGGAGATTTTGTGGGTTTTCAGAGGTAGGACCCAGTTAGAGGAAATAAATCAGTGGGGATAGGCTTTGGGGGGGGTGTTGTGCTCTGCTTCCTGGTCTTCATGAGATGAGAACACCTGCCTGTGGCTCTTCCAAGTGTGTGGAAACAAGTGATTAGACCACTGAAATGGTAAATGAGGAGCGTGAGTCCATCCTCACGTTGATTATGCCAAATGCTAGGAAAATATATAAATTTTTTCCTTCTGGGGAGATGAGAACTGCAACTGGGTTTCTGCTTGGTGATAGATTTATTGGGATTTCTTAGAGGCGTGTGAGAAGCCCTTCCCAAAGATTTTGTGCAGTTGTTGACTCTCGGTTGGGGGTGTGGTGACATCCCTGTTTGGGGGATGTCAAGAGTGTCCCTTCCCTCCTAGCTATCACTGTATTGTGTTTGTGGGTCATCATGTTGTTTGCCTTCAAAATGGGTGCTTATCATCATTCTTACTGGTGGGACACAGCCACTACATCCACAGCAGTGGCTGTTAGGCTTCTGTAACTTGCCCAGGAAACCTGTGTCCACCCCTGAGCTGCTCAGTATGGTAATGCGAGCCCCTGGAATCTCATCATGTTGAAGCGTGAGATTTTAGCAACCATGCTGTTCTGATGGGAGTGCCTCCTACCTCACCCCATGACTGGTGGCCACTAGAGGAAAGACCAGGCTAGAAATACAAAATCAAGGATTTAGGCCATCAGTATTCAACAGCTACTTGAAATTTCCTAGGCTTGCTAGAAAGAGGACTTAGGGGATACCAAGGAGGATAGTAGGTAGAAGATGAGGGCCATTGAGATGAAGCTAAAGCAGACGAGGGAAAGTAGAGATTAACAAATCTGAGGTTGACAATTTAAATTGTTTTTGTTTTTGTTTTTTCGAGACAGGGTTTCTCTGTGCAGTTTTGCGCCGTTCCTGGAACTCGCTTTGGATTCCAGGCTGGCCTGGAACTCCCAGAGATCCGCCTGGCTCTGCCTCCCGAGTGCTGGGACTAAAGGCGTGCGCCACCACTGCCCGGCTTGTTTTTGTTTTTATGGCAGGCTCTGTAGCCCTTGCTGTCGTGGAACTCATTATGTAGACCAGGCTGGCCTCACAGAGATCTACCTGCCTCGGCTTCTACCACCTGAGTGCTGGAATTAAAGTCATTGATAAAAATTTTGAATCCCTGGTTGTGGGTCTCTGCCGATGCAGTAAGCCAATTTAATAAGACCAGGTTTAATCCGACCAAAGCAGTCCTGGGTGATCTGGGGGTGTAGGGGTGGGAAGAGGAAGTCGTGTCACTGTTCCCAAGGAGGGGGCCTTAAATACCCCTGTATGTGCGATCTTTGAGCAGCTCCAGGGGAGGATCCACTACTTGGCTGGCTTTCTGAGGGTGGAACCTGGAGAGGGAGGAAGTGGAAGTTCCCAGCTAAACAGTCAGGTGCCTCCACCCTCAACCCTGAGGTCTGCAGGCAGATCTCTGAGTTAGATGCCACTCTGCTCTACAGTGAGGTCTAAGAGCCAGGGCTACACAGAAAAACCCTGTTGGGGGTGGGAAGTGGTAATTTAGTAGATGGGTTAGGATTAGTTTAGATACCAAAACACCCAAATTTTTGTCATGAACACTCACAATGCTAGGAAGGATGGACAAACTTAGTGAAAATTCCTCTTGGCTTAGGAATTGACTGGTGAAGAGTTTAAAAAAATCAGTTCAAATGGAAGTAGAGGGGCATCCCAGGATGGCAGTTTCTAGAGCAGTAGGTCCAGACTGGCAAGAAAACTGAAATTTCCAACTTTGGGAATTATAAAAAGAAAGTTAGGGGCTGGAGAGATGGCACAGTGGGTGAGAGCACTGGCTGCCCTTCCTGAGTTCAGTTCCCAGCAACCGCGTGGTGGCTCACAACCATCTGTAATGAGGCCTGGCGCCCTCTTCTGGTGTGAAGGCATGCATGCAAGCAGAACACTAGACATAATAAATCTTTTTTAAAAAATTAAAGCTAGTTGTATGAGGAGTTCAAAGCCAGCTGGGACAAGCAAGTCCTGCCTTGGGGGGTAAAAGTCAATACAATTGCTGTTGTATTTGAGACTTGGAGAGAAGTTGAGAATATAGGGGAAAGAATGGAAGTTTGTAAAAACCAACAAAGCAGGGACCTGAAATAGCATCTCAAAACCCAGCTTGAGTCCCACAGTAAGGATGTCACAGGCAGACATCAGATAAACACATAGATGAAACAGAAGCTGTTACCAAGAGGGCATTGATCTCCATATGTGCTGTGTTGTGCCACATACACAAAGGCAAGTATATCTAAGTTCACAAGAGGGAAGGTAGTAAACAAATATGTGTAATACCAATATCTAGGCCAATAAACAGAAGCAGTGTTTGATACAGGACCAACTTGCAGTATCGGGGCTTGCTTCCAGAGGAGCCAAAGGGGTGTTGTTTATACCCAGACCACCTTTTTTGAGATAGGGTCTCATTGTATACTTCGGCTTGGTTTGGAACTTAATATATAGTCCAGGTTGGCCTCTACCTCCCTAGTTCTGAGATTACAGATGTGTGCTACCAGACACAGTTCATGGGGTGCTTGGGATTTTGGAACCCACGGCTTTGTGCATTCTTGGCAGGCTCTCTACCAACTGAGCTACATCCCTAGCTCCATTGGTCAGAGTTTTAATTATGTGTGTTCTTTCCTGTGTACATGAGTGCAGGTGCCCTGAGAGATCAGAGATGTCAGATCCCCCAGATCTGGAGTTAGAGGTGATTGTGAGTCGCCTGATGTGAACCCAACTAGGTTTCATAGCAAGAGCAGAACACTGTAGTCAACCTCCATCCCTGTTACCAGAGATTTTAAGGCAAAAGCCCCAGCACTGTCAGCCCCAACAGGCTAGGCACCACCCCCTTGTAAAGAGCAGAGGGATTTCTTCACAGCTCACTGGAAAGAGGAACAGTCTTTTGTAGTGCTGATATGAGGTTTATTGTTAAGAGATGTGTGGTTAAGCAGTCCTGGCCAAGGTGTATTCTAGTTCATACTAAACTCAATGTCTTGGCCCCAGTCTGCCCTTCAAAGTGTCCTGATAATGTGTTCATTCCATGGTTGAGAGTGGAACCTGCCATCAGGGATCATTTCCCTAGCTGAAGGGTGGTCTGTTTAGTTTGGTTTTACTTGTCCCTGGCACTCAAGGTGGCTCTAAAGGTTAAGGACAATACTCTGTACCTTAGCTAAAGACAGGAAGGCAGAAACTAAGCTCCATAAAAGCTGAAGCAGGTCCCTGGTTGTTTGGTTCAGGTTGCTGCTTTTGAAGCCAGGCATGGTGGGGGAAAGCCTTAAATCCCTGCTCTTGGAAGGCCGAGGTAGGAGGCCGAGGTCAAGGCCATCTTAGGCTATCTGATGAAATGGGTCGTTAGGAAAGGCACAGGCACAATGATGTTTTGTTGTTGTTGGGTTTTTTGTTTGTTTTGTTTTGGAGAGATGGTTTCTCTGTGTAGTTTTGGTGCCTGTCCTGGATCTCGCTCTGTAGCCCAGGCTGGCCTTGAACTCACAGAGATCCGCCTGGCTCTGCCTCCCGGGTGCTGGGATTAAAGGTGTGCGCCACTGCCGCCTGCCACAGTGATGTTTTATCATTGACACTGCTACTGTTGAGAGGACTGGGGCGGAGAGCCAGAGAAGCCTGCTCCCCCTCTGCCCTGAACACAGCCTTTTCTGACCCCACATCCCCACCCAGCTAAACCAGAATCCTGTAACCCAACAACCATCAACAGCATTCCCTGTCACCGACCACTCCTCTTGGGCCTCCCCACCTCGCTTTCCTCCTAGCCCCCTTGTTCCTGCACTCCTGTCCCCTGGGCTTAACAGTCAGCAGCATCTTCTGACCTCCAGTTCAGACATCACAGGCTCAAGTGTTCAGGGCTTAAGCATCTGTCGTCTAAGCTGACCACCAGCTGATGGTCTTCCTGCCTCCATAGTGACCATCACAATGGGGTTTTGCAATGCTGGAGACTGAACCCAGGGCCTTCTTACTAGACAAGTACCAGCGAGATAGATACTGTTCAAGCAGTTCCACATTAGTCTGCCAGTCCCCTAGGCCTCAGCTTGATGGGACATCCTCCTTCCTGCCTCTTCTGCAATCCAGACTCCCAGGGTACCCCCGGAGAGCTTCAGATACCCATTAGACCATCCTATGTCACTCTTAGAGATTTACATGAAAATACAGGTCCACTCGTGCCATCGTGACTGCCCAGCCTCTTGGGCACTCTGGGTGACCTAGGCTTTATGGATCGTTGACTTTATCTTCCAAAAGTCTCTGAACTGTGAAGGTCCCTGCTCAGGTCTGTCTCTGTGTCTCTGTCTGTCTCTAGACAGGGTCTCACTATGTAGCCCTGGCTGGCCTGGATGTAGATCATGCTGGCCTTAAACTCAGAGATCTGTCTGCCTCTGCCTCTGGAGTGTAGAGATTATGTAGAGATTAAAGGTGTGTGCCACCAGGCGCTCGCTCTCTCTCTCTCTCTCTCTCTCTCTCTCTCTCTCTCTCTCTCTCTCTCTCTCTCTGTGTGTGTGTGTGTGTGTGTGTGTGTGTAACCAAAGGTGACCTTGAACAGAGTTCTGATCTTCCTGCTCCAGCTTCTGAGTGTTGGGATTACAGGCAAGCACTACCCTGTGATTTATGCTCTGCTGGGGATGGGACCCAGAGTCTTGAGCATGCTAGGCTAGCACTCTACTGACTGGGTTACATCTGCAGCTTCAGATTTCATTTTTCTGGTTTCTGGAGACAGGCTCTAGGTCTGTATCCCAGGCTTCCAAGTCGCAGCGATCTCTTTGCTAGGCCCCTGGAGTGCTGTGAAACCACGCCCCTCTGGACTTGTGAGTGTGGAAATGAGGGGAAAGTGCCGAAGGGCACAGCCATGCTGTAAGGAGCAAAGCAGCACGCCGAAGGTGCAACAGGAAGATCGCAAGCAGAACAAACGCGTGCACCTGGTAGTGATGTAGTGGCACCGGGACGCGGCACGCACAGGACTAGGGTTTCGCCAGAGTTCCGGAGTGGGCGGGGCCCCTGCGTAGCACCGCCTTGCCGTCCGTGGTGAGGGCAGGGCCTCGAACTGTGGGTAGCCGTGTGGGCCGGGTCTCACGCTGCACCACCTCCTTGCCGGCACTTGTGGGCGGGGCCTCGCGCTGCACCTCCCCCTCCTCGCTGGCGCCTGGGCGGGTGGTTAGTGTTGGCCGCGACATGGCTGCGCTGGTGGAGCCGCTGGGGCTGGAGCGGGGTAAGCGCTCCGGGGGATCCGGTCCGGCCTCTAGGCTCAGTGGGCCGCGCCAGCCAGGCAAATGCCGGGGGCGGGCGTAGTCGGGGTGGGCGGGGCGCGGCCTGCGGTCTGTGGGCGTGGGAGGGTCTGGGGCGGAGCGCCCCAAGAACACCCTGCCTGGGGTTGGGGTCCAGGGGACCCGCGGGACGCGTCGACCGCTTCCAGCCTGACCTCGGTCGCCCTTCCTGCTGCCCTCGCGTGCATTCGCGGTCCCCACCGCGCTCTGCAGACGTGTCCCGGGCCGTGGAGCTGCTGGAGCGGCTGCAACGCAGCGGAGAGCTGCCCCCGCAGAAGCTGCAGGCCCTGCAGCGGGTCCTGCAGAGTCGCTTCTGTTCTGCCATCCGCGAGGTGAGCACCCTGGTACTATGTGAGTTGTAGTTTCCTTGCGCTGCGCGGCGGGGGCGGCGACGGGCAAGCAGACTCAGGTAGTCATGTCCAGGGCTGTGGACTGGCATCTCCCTAAAGCTGCCGCCTCCCCCACACCCTCAGGTGTATGAGCAGCTCTATGACACGCTGGACATCACTGGCAGCGCCGAGGTGCGGGCTCACGCCACAGCCAAGGTAGGCGCCTGCCCCCGCAGCTCTGGGTGACCACAGGCACAGTGCCCTCCCAAAGCTGGCTATCCCTATGCCTTCCTCCTCATTTGCTCGTCTCTTCCACCCTATGAAGATTTATTTATAATACCCTTTAAATAACTGCACATTTTTAACTTGAATGCACATGAGATTCTCTTTAGCAACAGGCGTGGAAACTGGCCTCACTCGCCTGCCATGAAGATGACCCTAAACGACAATCCAGTTGGATGTCGTGAACAGGGACACCTATCCAAACTGCAGTGCCACACTCTTGTTACTGCCTGCAGACTCGGTCCTGTCCCCAACTCACCCACCTCAGCCCTGGGGTGGGGGCTAGTTTCCATTTGTCTGAAAGCAAGATTGGCAGGTGCTGAGTACTGAGGACAGACCTGGCTTGTGGAAGAATGTAAGTGGTCTCACAGGTGCTGGTCACCACAAGGTGGCCTACCGTTGCGCTGTGGCAGGACTCCCCTACTTGACCTTTGTTCCCTGGCTGCAGTGCCCTTCCCTCAAGGAGGGTCTCTCACAGCAAGGCACCTCCTCTCTTCCAGGCCACAGTGGCTGCCTTCACAGCCAGTGAGGGTCATGCACATCCCAGGGTCGTGGAACTGCCCAAGACGGATGAGGGTCTGGGCTTCAACATCATGGGCGGCAAAGAACAGAACTCACCCATCTACATCTCTCGAGTAATCCCCGGAGGGGTGGCTGATCGCCATGGTGGCCTCAAGAGGGGAGACCAGCTGCTGTCTGTGAATGGTGTGGTGAGTGCGGTAGCGCAGTGTCTGTATGGAAGCACTGGGTGGAGCGTAGCCTCTGTAGACACCCTGTGGGGAGCACTGCTGGCCCTCAAGGATTTCAGAGAGCCTAGCTGGGATTCTAGTCCAGTGTAGGGGAGGGAAGTTTTTGCAGGAGGAACATCAGGGGTGGTGGATGTTGAAGGATGGGTAATTCTCCGGACTAAGAGGTGGAGGGTGGTTCTGGCTGAGAACAGATAGGGTCTGTAACTGCACTCCCTGACATGAGGAGAAAGGTTAGCTCTAATAGAAGTCTGGGCCACCCGACATCCTGAAACCCCAGTGGTTAGAATCCAAGGAAGCACCACCGAGGAGGTAGCCTGGCCAGAGAAGCTGGGCTTTTGTTCCTGGGCTGTGAGGACAGGAGAGCAATGGGCTTCGGAGGTGTAGAGACCTCTCCGGACTCTGGGAGGACAAGGACAGGGTCAGGGACCTGCTTCATTCACTAAGGACTAAGCTGCACTGCCATGGCAGGTTTTAGGGTGTGGGTGCTGAGTCTAAAGTTGGTGATCCACGCGGGGTGGGGGTATGAGGCCTTGGAGACTCGACCCTGGCAGCCATCTCACTATCCACTGGTCCCATGTCCTGGGTAGGGTGGTAAGGGCAGCGGTTTGGGCCGGCAGTCTGTGCGAGGCCTGCCCTGCAGAGTGTGGAGGGCGAACACCATGAAAAAGCGGTGGAACTCCTGAAGGCCGCCCAGGGCTCAGTGAAACTGGTGGTGCGCTACACCCCTCGGGTGCTGGAGGAGATGGAAGCCCGCTTTGAGAAGATGCGGTCAGCCCGTCGGCGCCAGCAGCACCACAGCTACTCGTGAGCCTTCAGTGACCACCCTCCCCTGCCGCCTTCCCCAGCCTCAGACTCCCAAACAGGCCAGTGAGCCCAGCGGCCTTCATCCCTTATCCCGGGCTCCTCCCAGGGACTTCCTGACTCTTGACCTGTACCATGGTAGCCAAGGCCCTGGGACCTTCTGGCTCCCCAAGATCAGAATTCCTGTGCCTGCTTTTCTGAACCGTTGTCTCCAGAACCCCATCCTTAAACATCCCGTGCCCCACTGAACCTCCTCTGTGCCTGAACCTCCCCTCTCCACATCCTTGCAGGTCTTTGGAGTCTCGAGGCTGAAATCACAGAGCAGGATCCTCCTCCCCTGTACAGTATTATTTATTGTCGCTGGCACCTTATTTAAAGATCTTTAACCCTCACCGAGTGTCTTGTGTGTCTGTCGCGCATCCTGGAATAGTGTCTGTGGAGGAGGAGGGTGAAGCTGAGGTTAAAACCAAGCTCTTTCCAGTATGGGAAGCAGCTCCGAGGGCTGAGGCTGGCCGGCTTCCCAGAGACTAGCCCGGCCCAAGGCTGCGTCTAAGTGAGTGCCAGGGCGCAGCACTGAAGACCACTGTCCCCAACACTTAAGAGGTTCGGAAGGAGAGGGTCTGGCAGGGTCTTCCGCCGCGGGTCGGACGCGGGAGCCGGAGCCTGAGCGCTGCCTCTGTAGGCGTGGCGGAGCGAACCATTCGCTGGGGGAGCCCTGTGGGCCGTGCCACCGTCTGCGTGGGAGTCGGGGGTGGCGGGCCGCGTGCAGTTCCCCAGGCGGGCGCAGGGGTGCGGAGTACCAGGCACTCGCTACCCATCGGCTACTAGCCTCACCTTCCAACCGAGCACATCCTTCCGGGAGCCGCCCTTGCCTTAAAAAAAAAAAGAAAAATAATTCCCACCTCGAGTGTTGAGTTCCCATCCCGCCACCCAGCCCTCCTGTCCCGTTAGACGCGCACTGCCGCGGGAACGCGGGGTCGTGACTCGCTTTCCACGCCGCGCGCTACTAGATTCAGGTGACATCATCCTCTGCCGGGCTCCGCCTCCATCCAGGCCGCCGCACGCCGCACGCTTATTGGTTGCTGTGCCATGAGTCCCGCCCTCAGCTCTCCGCCCGCGCGGCCCCTCCCTCTTGATGTGAAGGCGGGGCCTTGTCGCCGGCCGGCACGGACGCTAATTCTCATTGGCCACTCAGCGCCGTCCGTCAGTCTTCTGTTAAAGGGGCCACGACCGCCTGGGATCTGTGGGGGGGAGGGGGAGGGAGGAGAAATTTTTGGGGGGGAGAAGGTGGGATTTTGGGGGGGGCGCTGGTGGGCACCCCTGGATCTGGCGACTGCGGCCTCGCGGGGGGAGGCTGTACGGTGACAAGGGCAGGGGGCTATTTTAGGGAATAAGGCTGTGAGACCGTGAGGGGGAGGGGGGTCCCCAGCGCCGGAGCCGGAGCAAGAGACGCTGAGCCCGCGCTAGCGGCGTAGACAGGGCTCCAGAGCTCCAGATCCGGGCCCCGGTCGCCGCCAGGGGCCCCGCCCGGTGCCCCTACCCCACCCCGCATCCCTACTGCAGCCCAGCTCCTCCCGCAGTCGCCGCGGACCAGGTAGGTAAGAGCCCGGCCCAGCCTGCCTGGCAGCGCCCACCCCGGGGACCCCTGGGCTAGCCTCCCCCACTCGCTTGCCCGAAATCCTGCATTCCCATCTACATCCCGAGGGAACCCAGAGTCCAGATTTCACAAGCCAACCCAGGAGAGCCAGGCGTGTCCCTTCCCGGAGCCCAGAGTCCCCAGCCGAACCCTGGTGTCTATCTCAGGAGGGTTGCCTCCTTTAGGGCCCAGAAGCCTGAATCCCTCAGCTCAGCACAGGGGACCCCTCAGTCTAGATCCCTCCTCCGGGCCCAGTCCTGGGAGCTCCAGACACTGGCTACCGCTGTGGGGCTACCTCTCTTGCGTCCGAATCGTTCCCCCATTCGCGCCCCCCACCTTCTGGCTGGAACAGCCGGCGACGTTCCTCGATCCGGGCTGGCTCGCCCTGGAAACAGGCCCGCGCCGGAGCTGTCCATGGTCAGCTCTCTCGGCAGCCTCGCCTCCCCCATCTCCTGCCACCGCCGCCAAGGAGGGGGTGCAGGCGGCGTGGGGATCCCCCCACAGCCGCGCCTTTGACCTGGGAATCCCGGCGCCCCCCTCCCAGCTGGGCCGCAGGGTTCTCAGGCCCATGTTTAGGCACCCTAGCTTTCCGGGACTCGAGCTGCTTCACTTATAGTCAGGGCTTTTGAATGTCCCTGCCCAGACCACTTTAGAGACCTTAGCATGCAGCCTCCAGCTCCTACCTGGTTCTGAAAGGCTGTTGGTGCCCATACATCTGCTGGCCCTGAGTAATCGCCATCACCCTATTCAGCACCTGGAGAATCGGGTTTCCTAGCTTTCCCCCACCCCCCTCCACTTAGCACCTAGTTTAACAGCCCCCCAACCCCCTTGTCAGACAAATGTGCCCAGCCTCCTGGTTCACCAGCACCTGCTGGCTGTCTTAGGGACTCAGGCGCCATGAGTTCCCTTCAGAAATCTGGAATGCAATTCCTCTGCTTCTGTCCTCTTTCCTCCTTGGAGATCTAGGTGTCTCGCCCCATCTTGTAACCCCCATCCAAACAAGCACATCTCAGAGACCCAGAGTCTCAGACTGCGGCAACTGTCCTGTCCATCAGACCACCTGCCCAGCCCTACACTCCCATCAAACATTCAGGCTCTAAGTTTCTAACACCTCCACGTGGATGCAAAGGTCTGGACCCCTGGCTGTCCATTGCACTCCCATCTTTAGGTCTTTGTGGCTTCACCATTCTGTCAACTTCACATCTTCCATGGCCTTGAACTCATCTGCCTGTCATCTCAGGTGCTAGACTTCCAGCGTCTCCTCTCCCACTAAAGCTGAGTGGTTGATGTATTTCTGGCATTTCAATGCCTCTAGAGACCCATATGGTGATGTCTGAAATCTCATACTCCAAGTACCAAACAGCCATCCTCCAAGTGTGCTCTGTGGTCAGGGTTCATGAGGTGATCTGGAACCTACCAGCCATCTTCCTGCATTTCTCGTTCTAATGAGTCCTTTCCTTGTGTTATGTTTAAGATTCCAAGATGCAGAACATTTCCAGATGATACATCTGTTCCATCCCCACCAAGGCGTGATCTACATTCTATACCACGTGCAAAATTCTAGGCGTGTCTTTTTCCACTTGCTTCCTCCCCATCCCCAACATGCAGGGTTTTGCCATGTAGCCCAAACTGGCTTAGAACTCACTATGTTGTGCACATTTCTTCTTCTTCTTCTTCTTCTTCTTCTTCTTCTTCTTCTTCTTCTTCTTCTTCATCATCATCATCATCATCATCATCTTCTCCTCCTCCTCTTCCCCTCCTCCTCCTCTTTCCCCTCCTCCTCCTCTTCCCCCTCCTCCTCCTCTTCCCCCTCCTCCTCCTCTTCCCCCTCCT